TCAGTTACAACGTCTTTCGTATAACTACCCTAAATACGTAGATCTTAGTAATCTAGACAATGAACCGTACTAAATTCCAATATGATACTTTCTTCTAAATAATCTTTTATTCAAAAAATATTTTGTTATTTATTCTCCAACTATACTGTACCTTCGTTAACGTAAAAATATTAGTTGAGGAATCACTTTCTAGCTATATTTTACTAAATTTTTAATATCGCTGAATCTTTCAAATCCTTTTGTATATCAGATCAATGGGCATAGGGCATAGCTAAGTTGGCATTTAGGGTACCTGCTATATCCTTCACAGTACAAGACAAAAAAGGATGAGAGTATATGATTCTTTACATTTGTAATATATAATTTTATTTCCTTTGTTACCCTATCAAGCAAATATAAGCCTGTATTGCCTGCAATCGTTATATTCACGGATGATTAAGTAGTACACCACTTAATATCCTAATTTTAATTCATATTGTGCCTAGGAAAAATATTAATATTCAAAGTGAGTATGTTTAAGTATTATAATTATTTCTTAACCAGGAAGTTCGGACCCTGTTGGTCTTTTAATGTAATATAATGAATAATAGTGCAATTTTTACACCCAACTGAGATCTCATGTTGAAAATTATTTTCATTTAGCATTTCCCCCTAAAAGAATTTTTACTTAAAGCTGAATTATAGTTTTGACCTTGCCTGGATATCGTCAACACACCCAATGGAATTCCAAACGGAGTCATTTGTTTAGAATAGCGCATACTCCTTCTGGTCACTCAGCTATAGAGCCACAAAGAGGATGTAAACTTTCAGGCAAACCAGGCCTCTCCCAGATTTGGATTTCCTTAAAAATCCAATCTGGGCCATGACCCACTGACAACTATCCGGGATAAGAAAGCCCTTTAGGATACAAGGCTAATTCAACCAGAGTTGAATCGTAAGGCCTGCTAATTTTACTATCGCTTACCTTTCAACTAAATATCCCAGGGCGACAAATACCTTATCCATAAAGTATACATATTATCAAAACTTACTCTCATATAACAGAAATAGTAAAATCTAGATATATAATATGGATAATAGGAAGTAAAATACGTAATTATTTGTTTCCAGAAGGATTTTTAAACAACGATTTCCATGTTTCTAGCGGCATTCTGGCCTATTTTAAATTATAACTTTACATTATGGATGAATCGGTGTGGTATATAGAGACATAAAAAATCTCTTGCCTTCAAGCGAGATCATAACTTGTGCAAAATAATCCTGTTTGTATCTGTGAGCTTTTATGTTTTCGTTGCATCCTTTTCCCTTAAACTTGCGTCCTTCTGAAAGAAAGGGAAGATAAATGGATTAAATTCTCATAAAAACAATAAGCTTAGCTTCATAATTGGCCTCACGTCAGTAGTAATGATGACTGTATAAATAATATTTTTTCAGATGTATCCTAGCAGAGCTCATTAGTCTATATTCAAGATATACAACCCTTGATACAGGATGTCGTATGTCAGCCATTCTCATTTAAAAAAATATCATAACGTAAAGCCAGCTCACAGCAACCAAACTCGTCTTTCATCGACTGATAGTTAAGGTGTCTGAAGAATGTCTATCAAGTGGTAGTAATAAGACCACTTGATTTTTACTACTCTATAAAGACGATTATAATAAATGACTGATCAATATATCCATTTCAGTTAAAATATATGCAAATTCATGGCAAACATACTAGTTCAGTGACTGGGTGACTTCTTGCAAACTCTGATCCTGTCCAAGAAGTTGTTCCCTGTACTTTATAATCCTCGGAATTCTAAATTTTAAAACAAAAGTCAAAGGTTTAATAGGGTTTATCCTGCATTGATCGGTAAAATAGCGTCAACAAGATGCATGCAGACCGCCAATGGTTTTATCAGAGAATACTTTATTAAGCCAATACAAATTGAAGTTAGTAATAGCTAAGACGATGAAATCAGCCATGCTCTCGATCAATCAAATTATTTTTGATAAATCACAAGTGATTAATATCTGGTACTTGGATGTTGATTGTAAGTAGTTTACGATATTAGTTCGATTATCAGTAACTAGTAGATCTGAATGTTGCTCGTAGTTAGCATAATAGAAACCACATGGCGTTCCGACGTACAAGAAAGTCGGAGATATACAAGCTACATGGCAAGAAATTGATAAACGAAAACCTATTTGGGGAAATATTTAAGGAGATATCGCTGTTAAAATTTTCATGTTTGAGAAGCATTCACTCTAGTTCATTTAATGTGATGATGAAGAACGATGGTGATGATGAAATATCAAAAGCCTATTCACAAACTAAAATTCATATATTCATTCAGGACTGTTTAATTCATAAAGATATTATGTGCTTGGGGTATTACTATGAAAATTCTAGATATCTCTTATAAAATTTTAATGATATTTCATATCTGAAAGACTCTAAGAAATAATGCAAGTTTCTCCTGGTGATTTGTAGGAAGTAAGAGACTAAATTCATTAGGGGAACTTTCTTTTCGTATGAAAGTGAATGAAGAAGAGATTCGTTGGTGGATCTCACCAGATGAGGACTAATAAATCTCGTTATACTACAGTTGAATTTTATACGATATTTATGTTGACGCAGTCCACGAGACTTCTTCCCTCGTTTCGGGTGACAACGTGCTGAGCTTTTATCCATGATATGATATACATCATCAGAGCTAGGTGCCATTCTTTTAAAAGTTGCACATTAACATTAGTGTGTTAATGAGATTTATCCATCCTCATCTGATGAGATCGACTAACGAATCTCTTCTTCATTCGCTTTCATACGAAATAAAAGTCCCCATAACAATGTTATCTCAAGAGATTCATCAAAATCCAGTTTCTCTTCGTATCTACAATGTACA